GATTGATGTATGGGTGATCAATTTTCTTTCTCTTTTTTCAGAGTTTTATCATTTTATTTAGTGAGCACATATACCATCCTTGTTAGTCACAAATTCTATTTTAAAATATCTGTAGGCATCATTGGTTTAAAAGTAAGTTGTCACTTATTTAATTGGAAAGAAATTTTTCATAAGTACATTAAAATTTTTGTCTAGTGATCTTTGCTAGATTGGAGTTTTAATTTTTAATGTATCTGAATAATTTTAAGAATACTATATAATATCAGTTAAGCAATGCTAAACTCTAAGTAGTTTCTGTACTCCTTTCAATGTATAATTTCAGTGATATATACATCTAAATTGTCAAACCTATGTTTTTCCTTTTCCATCTTTTTATTATTATTTCTTAGTTAATAAGCTTACACCATATTGTACAATCAGAAATTTGGTTCAAATTTTAAAAAAAAAATATTGAGTTTATTTCATGTGTATAGTTTACTCTCCTCGCCCTTTCCTACCTGATCACAGGTCTACCACTGTGTACTACATAACATTCCTCACCATCTTTTAAAACCCAGAGCTCTGTCTTTAAAAGCTGAACAGGCATTTTGGACAACACGTTCCTGGCAATGGAACTTGGTCACGTATCACACATGGTAAGGAAATTTCTCACATTGCTTTATACAAAGGAAAGCCAGATATACATTGTTACCATAATGAAGTAAGACTAAAGATGTTAACCAACTGCATAAGTTATTTTCTTGAAGAGATTTCCTTCACTGACACAATTGAATTGCTTCCTTTTCAATCACCTTGAAATAATTTTTCACTTATTTGTTGAACTTGACTGGCTTCTACTTTGAGAAGAGAAACACTTTTTCTGTGATGCATCAGCAAGGTTTTTGTGTGGAAACTTGCTACCACATCTTGGGAGAGATTGCTTTCCAGATATACTTAAAGTGTTGCACCACTTTCCTCTCCCTCTTCCCCTTCTGGTTAAATATCTTCCTTTGTAGCTACCAAGTGCTGTCATGAATATGTTCAGGGCCTCAACACTCCAACCTTAAAACTATAGGAGGTGAAATTGCAAAGCTCCAAGCACCTTCACGGTTCAATGTTATTGGTGTTACTTTAATGGAACTGCCTTGCAATTCATTGCCTCTACCTTAACAATGATCAGTTCAGCCTTTGCATCAACCTCTAAGCTGATCACCTTAAATGAGAACTGGTGTTTATTATCATCATTATTAACTTTAAATAATGTTCGTCAGCCTTTAATTCACAAGCATAAAGACAACTTTGGGGCCTCAGGGGCTCATGTCCATATCTATTAAATATTTAATGGGCTGGTGGTGCATATCTGGGAGGAAGCAGACAAAGGTAAATGAGGGGCAATCTTGGCTGCCTGGAGGCTCCTCCTCAGTCCAACAGAAGTCCAGGGAATTCTAGCTGAGCAAGTCTTCTTCTCCAATATTATTGCCTTAGACTAGATGGTGATACTGATCCCAAGCCTAGTAGAGTATGTGACTGGTAGTCACAGCACTTGTAAACTACTAAAAGATGATGAGGTGAAAGCTAAGAACACCCAGTATGAGAAGAAATGACCTTCTATGGAAAGATGGGGAGAAGACTTCATCACTTGTTTAGCACTTTGAATAGATCCTAAAAACTCACATGGAGCAGGGGAGGTAGAGGTCCAGTGGATGCAAAGTTCCTGGTGTGACATTGTAGGCTCAGCAGGTAAAGGACATTGTTCAGTGGAGTTTCAGGATGGTTTGGAGAACATGAATGATGGAGCTAAACTGGAGCCAAAAAGGAAGGGTTGTAATTCCCCTGTTAGGGTGTGTGTCTAGTTGACCCCCTAAAGCCTCCTGCAATCATGGGGCAGATTTCTAGGGTTTGAGATGAACTCATCATCCACTGGGATCATGGGTGTGAATACTACTGGGATTATGGGTGTGAATACTACTCCCAGTGTTGGGCGGATAGCCTGAATGCAACTTAAGGGAGACAGCCTTCCTCTCTGTAGCCATTGTTGCTGCTACTCCTCTCTTTTGCTCTTTCTCTTTGCTGCCACCATGAAAGATTGCTCTCTGCTATTGCCATGCTGCCTTATATCCAGCTGAGTATGAATTTAAACCTCCAGTAACTGTGAGCTCAATAATCTTTCCTTCCTTAATTTTGGGTGTCGGGTATTTGTCCCAGCACTGAAAGAAGAGTAACCGAGACACTCCCCAAGGGAGGTAGAGGGGATATGTCAGATACTAGAGAACCATTGAAGATATTAGACATAAGCAAAGAAAGATCACATCTTATGAATTCTGTCCTCCCTACATATCTGTAGAGCTATGGTTTGAAGAACATACAGGCTCTGTTTCCACCCACCTTGTGATTGCTAATGCTGGCTGAGAGGCAGGTAAAGCAAAGACAAGACCAAGAAAATCAATGGCAGGTTTCACAGTGGCTGTGACAGCCAAGGATCTTCCTGTGTGTCTACCAGTTCCTAAACAGGAGTCTCTGTCACTTGTTTAAATATGACCAACTTTGCAGATGATGATCCCTCCTCAGTCACATTCTTTCCCCCCAGCCCTTCACTGATGGCCCAAGTACACTGTATCTCTCATTTCTTTTTTTACTGGGACTCTTTGAATACAGATGATGATTTCATTCACTATAGGGAATTTGTATCTGTACATAATATATCTTGATTCTTGTTCTGTCTCCCATTTCCTTCCCCTCCTTTTCATCCTACTCTTCTCCCTATTTATAAAATCTTTCTTTCTG